AGAGAGAGAGAGAGAGAGAGAGAGAGAGAGAGAGAGAGAGAGAGAGAGAGAAAGAGAAAGAGAGGGGGAAGGACTGAGACGGCAAGCAACAGATAGAGACAGAGAGTGGTAGGGTTTAAATAAGACAGAGAGACAGGGGGAGAGCGAGAAAGAGCGACGGAAGAGAGAGAGAGAGAGAGAGAGAGAGAGAGAGAGAGAAAGAGAGATAGAAAGAGAAAGAGAGGGGGGAGGACTGAGACGGCAAGCAACAGATAGAGACAGAGAGTGGTTGGGTTTAAATAAGACAGAGAGACAGGGGGAGAGCGAGAAAGAGCGACGGAAGAGAGAGAGAGAGAGAGAGAGAGAGAGAGAGAGAGAGAGAGAAAGAGAGATAGAAAGAGAAAGAGAGGGGGGAGGACTGAGACGGCAAGCAACAGATAGAGACAGAGAGTGGTTGGGTTTAAATAAGACAGACAGGGGGAGAGCGAGAAAGAGAGCGAAAGAGACAGAGAGAAAGAGAGAGAGAGAGGAGGGAGAGGGAGGGAGAGGAGGGGGGGGGATGTGAAGACTAAATATTATTGTCCTCTCTCAGCAAGAGTACATCCAGAAATGAGGACGAAAACAGCATTCAGAAAGAGTTTGTCATAATATTTTGCAGAAGTAAAGATTTAGTTTGGGGGGGGGGGTCAAAGACAGTGGTGAGTCAGTTAACAACAGGAAACGTCTTTTTTAAAGGGAGCATAATAAGAACAGAAGCGATCTAAAGTCATAGCAGCATTGGCCCTCCACACTCACCCACCCCTTTTTTTCTCCCCTTAATCCAAACAAGGGCGATCACTCTCCCTCCCTCCTCACGGCTAAACAAACCGGATGTCGTCTGCCCAGCCAAAACACAGTGGCAGGAGCGACTGCTGCGCAAGTCGTTTTTAATATCCGCTGTTGACAAAATCACCATGCGAGAAGCGATTACGTCCCCTAGCAAGCTCTGCAGCTGGAAAGTCCGGAGCGAGAAGGAATCCCCGGATCGCTCGCCCAGATTTGATGAAACCGGCAGAAAAGCCACCACTCCCGAGCTCAAATAACTCATTTTGTCTACTTTATTCCGGGGCGCTTGTCGTTGGCGTGCTCGAGTTAGATTTTTCTCTGCGGTTTATATGCTCACCGGGCCGAAATAATGAGAGCAAGAAGCCACGTCAGCTGCTCTTGCATAAACTGTTGATTCGTGCTCCGGTAGACTACGCTTCTCGGCCCGGCTTATGAGGAAATTCATTTCATCGCGAGATGACGACAATAACGTTTCTGAAAATTCGAAGTCCTCTCTTTCCGCGGATTCTGTTCTCAAATATTTGAAGTTCTTCTTTGACTTTCGAGGAGGGGTCATTAAAATGTTCAGGTGCACTCTCTTTCTTTCTTTCTCTTTCTCTCTCTCTCTCTCTCTCTCTCTCTCTCTCTCTCTCTCTCTCTCTCTCTCTCTCTCTCCTCAATCTTAACCCATGGCTCTCTCTTTCTCTCTTTTTCTCTCTTCACAGAGACGCCAACCACAGAAAACCGAAATGAGTATTGGGAAGCATGAAAATGTGTATTTTCAGGGGAAAATGTGTATTCTCCACGACCGACCGACCAACTAGTCAAATGTTTGTGTCTTGATCCATAAAAAGCTGTCAAATGCAAGGAATAAAGTACACTCAAAGAACGAGAAAAGCTGAATAAATTGATGCACTTACCTCTTTAATACATTGACCATTTTCATCTTTCACCCACCTTCACCATGAAACCCCCCCCCCCCCCCCCCCCCCCAAAAAACAAACAACAACAACAAAAAACACACACAGAGCAAGCACACAGAACATGTATACAACAACAGACATACAACAACATGCACACAACAACACACACACAAACATAAAGTCATGGCTTTGGTGAACTACTCAGAAGCAGGCACACCATCTAAGACTCTCTTAGTAGAGCCTTTCAAGTGCTTCAGCTCCTCTGGTGTGTGCTCCTCGCCATCCCTGTGCTTCAGGATCATCAGGGCCTCAAGGCTGTCGGAGTCTTCATATCCACCCACACACATAACTCTAATTCATAAATTCATAAATACTAAGCAACACGTGTTTCTGTGGGTGCTCTTTGAGTTAAACAGCTTTCTTTATCATGCAGATGTATAACAAAATCGCTGTCAACAACAACAAAAGAAAAAAAAGTAAATCGTAAACAGTATTTATTTTCCTGCTCAGACTTAAAATTGCAATCAATCATCGGGGTAAAATGCTTCGTACAGTACAAAGATAATAGGATTTTGAATCAAAAACACCTGCCCAAAATGTATTCTTAATTAACCGAACTGCTACGGAAAAAAAAAAGGTTAAAATATGAATCTGGAGTGGACAGGATGCTTTATCTATTGCCAGTGAAACAGTGAGTGGGGGTGTGCGTGCACATTGGTGTGGGAGAGAGAGAGAGAGAGAGAGAGGGGGGGAGAG